CATTAATCTCCTGCACAGCAAACTCCAAAGCCAGGATGTGTTGGTATGTCTGGAACAGTACCCTGCAACAGGAGACATGATGATGCTGTGTCACTGAACCCCAGATTCAGAACAGAAGAGTTGCTAAGCTTCAATGCAAATTTGGTTTAATTAAAACAAAAGGAATTAGAATTGGCTAATTGGCTAAGTTTCAAGGTAATGCAAAATTACTCTTTCCATGATTTTCTGGACTGTATGAAAATGTTACAATTACTTTAGGAATTTCCCACTAATGAGTATATTCAGACATCCACCATTTGCAAGATCTCTAACCATCAGCCAAGTAGTGTGTCTAATATGGATGATGATGCCCACATTTGGCTCTCATTAAAATCAGGAGAAAGGGTTAGTCATGGCCAGAGTGATGTTCTACAGGTTTCAGTAGAAATTAAGGACAACTCTTTAATCTTCGAGGTGATTGTTATCTGTCTGACATCTAGCGTTAGACAGCACTGGACACTTCTTGCTAAGAAGCAAAGAGATGTCATTCATTCACCAATTCAGTTGATGGCAGAAATGAGTGATGACTTCCACATTATCTAAAATGCTGATATTTGTCACTCTGGAAGTTTAGGATATCCCACACAAATTCTTTGTGCAATTATAACCTATGTTAAGCCTCTTTGAGAATCATTACACTGAAATGAAGCATATTTATCTTGTAGAAAAAAGGATACAGTAACTTACACTGGTTCGTTGATCACCTTCTTAGAGGGATGGTTTCTGAACTCCACTGAATCAGAAAATGTGTTGACCTGAGAGACAACGCCAGCGATACTGAAATCTCCCGATTGATAATACTTGTAAAGAACAGAAATAGGTTGACCAATACAGTGTTTAGAAACAGTGCCCTTGCACACTGCCTGAGGCATCAGCATCAATAAGGACAGTATTAATACCATTATCTGAAATCTTCCTTGGGAGCACCGGTTTCTTTGTTTACACATTCTCCCTTTGGCAAATCTCAAGAGAACAGTATGACGTGACACTCTTAGATAATCTGAAATGCAGAGGAAATGCAGATTTTAGTGTAACACTGACTGCACCAACAGAGCTGTGTGCCTCTCTAGAGTCATGTGTAAATGCTCTGGAGGATGTTACATGGCATCTTCATATACCTTCCAAGGCCTCTCTTTACCCCCTGGGGGCATGGAACAATAATATGGATAATTGTGCTCTGCATAATAATTATCACACAGATATAATCACACTTCTTTTCTTGGCTCCGTTATTGAAAAGAGTATATTCAGTAAAACACATCGGACAACTTCTTTTGTCCACCTCAGGGAGAGAGGAAGAAGTGATCCACAGCAAGAAAAAAGTTTCCAGACAAGAAAAGCAAGCAAGCAAGCAAGAAAACTTTTGAAAACCTACCCCAAAAGAAGAGTTTGTGTCAAAAATGGTCCTTTGGCCAGTGGCAAGGGTGGACCTTATGAACACTAGCCTACTAGAGGGTTTTGTTTGGTACCTCTAAACTGGGCACTCCCTGAAACAAGATGAACCCTCTGAAGATACGGCTTCAGAAGGCAAGTAGACCCCAGGAGTTCTGGAGGATGGGAAAGCAGCTGAATCTCCAGGAAGAGAAAGAGGAGGCAGTATCGAATAGGAAGTAACTGTTTCTAAGGGGGGATAGAGTGGAGAAGAAGAGAAGGGGAAATATTGATGGACTGATCTTAAGGAATGTCTGGAGAGGTTGTACGAGTTGAATACTCTTCAACTAACGGGTACACTGGATTCAGCCAAGAATACCCTACTGCAAAACACCCCATGCTTGGGCCTGGGGAACTCAAGAGCTGCTTGATGTCCAGCCTCTCATGAGGAGAATTGGGCCTGTACCAGAGGCATATAGCCCTAACCCAGCTTCTCCACCCATAACTACGAGGAAACTACAGGACTGGAGAAGGTGCCCCTTCAAAAGATTGCAACAGCTTGAGATGGACCTACAGAAAAGTGTGAGAGGGAACAAGGACATTAAACAACTAGCAATGAAGAGACCCACTCAGAGGACCTAAGACTGAAGTGTCAAGGGGTGAGTCTTGACCACCCTGCTGGACAAGCCTCAGACTTAAGCAACAGTTGTTTTGTTGTTGTTGTTTAGTCGTTTAGTCATGTCCGACTCCTCGTGACCCCATGGACCAGAGCACACCAGGCCCTCCTGTCTTCCACTGCCTCCCCGAGTTGGGTCAAATTCACCTTGGTCACTTTGATGATACTGTCCAACCATCTCGTCCTCTGTCGTCCCCTTCTCCTCTTGCCTCCACACTTTCCCACAATCATGGTCTTTTCCAGGGAGTCTTGTCTTCTCATGAGATGACCAAAAGATTGGAGCCTCAGCTTCAGGATCTGTCCTTCCAGTGAGCACTCCAGGTTGATTTCCTTCAGAATAGATAGGTTTGTACTCCTTGCAGTCCAGGGGACTCTCAAGAGCCTTCCTCCCTCACCACCTGTGAATCAATCCTCTCAGTACCATTGTCTGTGACACATTCTGGCCACAGTTTCTTCCAGGCTGAGTTCAAGGTCCTGGTTGTGACTTCTTGCCAGGCCTTGTCAATGAGTCTGATGCTGTGGAGGACATTGAAATGCGTCTGCCAGAACTCTCTCAGGGTCAAGGACATCTCCTCGATGACATTGAAGCACCTGGTGAAGAGTGCCTTTGTGTATGGCTTCTTGAAGTTGCTGGTCCATAGGCTGCAGAAGAGGTGTTGTGTTAGGGGAGTGGAGGAACTTGACCCTGATGAAATCCTTGTCAATGTCCTCCGCCAAGGATGGGGGGTGTGTGCTGGGGCGTTGTCCATCAGCAGAAGGCACCTCTCAGGAAGCTGGTGGTCTGAAAGATATCTTCTGACAGTGGGTGCAAACTCCTGATAGAGCCATTCCAGAAACAGCTGCCTTGTCATCCAAGCTCTTGCGTTGGCCCTCCACATGACAGGCAGTGTGGCCTTGTTGACTTTCTCTCACTGGAATGGGCGAGGAGTCTAGGAGTAGTACACCAGCAGAGGCTTGATCTTCAGATTGCCAGTGGCATTGGCGCAGAACAAAAAGGGTCGATCTGTCCTTCATGGGTTTGTGGCCCAGCAGTTTCCCGTTAACCCCTGCCAGAATGACCACAGAGGCAAACAGTGGATCTGTCCTTCATGGGTTGTGGCCTGGCAGTTTCCCATTAACTCCTGCCAGAATGACCACAGAGGCAAACAGTGATGGGATCTCTAGTTGGAAACATCTGGAGGGCACAATGTTGCCCACATTGTTTAAAGGAACTGTTTATCAAAGCTTCGTTAAAGTTCCTCTTTCTCAGAGAAGATGATGGGGAGAGGATAATAAAACGGGAATTGCTCTGGTGATTAATGATTGCAAAAATCTGCTAACTGACCAAACTGGTGAACCCATTTCCAGTTTCGATTTCAATCACATGGGTCTTGTAGCTGACTTCCCTCCAGCGGTAACATTTACCCACAACGTGCTTAAGCAATGTCTTGTTGCCATGACCACTCTTTCTGACTTCCTTTAGAAGACACATATGGTCTGTTTTGAAGATGATGACTGGCATTCTGCAAAACAGCTTCTGAGAAGTTGCAGCTTAAAAGAATTCCTATCCCTTACAGCATGGATTTTACTATTGCAGTCCCTACGCTAGGTATGTTGATAGACCTTCTTGATCTTCATTTCTTTCCATTGCGTTTTAAAAACTATTACAAGCTATTCTTAATCGAAAGTATTAGGATATCATTAGATATAGCAAGTGGCAGGCAAATTAATTAAATGAAAAAGGTAATCTTGTCTATTTTTAAAGTTGGTTATGTGTTTGTTTCTTTAATTTGTGATGAAAAGTACATATGTGGACAGTTTTGGTGGTCTCTCTTTCTAGCTATTCTTCTTCTCCCTTAAGTAGAGCTTACAAAACATAAGATTCTGAAATTAAGAATCATGCCCATCTTAAAGTCTGTGTCATCGGCTAAAACTTTGGCATGCCAGAAGTTTTCATTACAATCCCAGCAATACTTTACCACATACAGTAGTGCCTTGCTAGATGATAATAATCCATTCCACTGAAATCGCTGTTTAACGAAATCATTGTCTAGCAAAAAGCATTTCCCCATTGGAGTGCATTGAAACCTGTTTAATGCGTTCCAATGGGGAAAAATCGTTGTTGTCCAGTGAAGATCAGCCATAGGAAAGCCGATTTGCGGACCGCTGGTCAGCTGTTTAAATCGCTGTCTTGCGAAGCTTAGGTCCCGAAAACACCTGTTTTGTGAGCCCGGAGGGAGCTCAAAATCGTCGTCTAGCGAAAATCGGTTTGCGAAGCAGGGACCAAACATTGTCCAGCGAAATTCCCCCATAGGAATCACTGTTTTGCTAATCGCTATAGCGATTGCAAAAAGTCAATGTCTAGTGAAAAAACTGTCATGCGGGGTAACTGTCTAGCGAGGCACCACTGTAACTTGTTGTGTTAGACTTCTGGAATGGGTCCCAAAGACCTTAAAGGACAAAAGCTTTCCATTCCGTTTGGATCATGGACTAAAATAATGATCAGTTCAAGAAAGGCATGGTGCTGGAACCAAGATAAAGCCAAGAAGGTCCATTTGGGACCATATGTAGCCTAGCTGCTTGCTGATAACCATGTCTGTGCTTCCATGGGGTATTTGCAACCCACCAACAACCAGGAATGGGGACTCTGACTTGCTGTCAAGTCAGATTAAAATCACACAGGTGAACCTACTCTGACTCTACTTGGGTCCCCCCCCCCAATGATTTTGACTTGATTCATGACTTGGAACCCAACCACCTCACCCTTTTTTCTGAGGAGGGGGAATATTCTGTTTTTAATAGGGACTCAGATTTGGGACTTGGGACTCAGGACGTGGTGCCAAAAACTCAGACTTGGGACTCAAACCCAAAGATTTTGCCAACATCCCTGTGAACAGCCGATGGACGAAAGGAGTTTCCTCGTGAGGTTGTTATCGGACCCTGCCTCCAGCACCAATTTGACAGGGGGACAAACTTCTCCTTTTTGAAATCCTCCTTGCCATCCTCTCCCCTCCTTGAAACCTCCCTGAAAAAAAGGGGGAAACTGTGTGATGTCTTTTGAAGGGGTGCAGTAGGACATTTCGAAACACCCTGAATCAGTTACAGCAAGTCTGGACAATCCCTATTAGTTCTAGTTGGTTCAGCCAGGAACAGGAGAGGTTGGGCTTTGCTATTCTGCAGACATTGGGCGATCGCAGGTTGTCAACTCCTGATGTTAAATCACCCAGCCAGAACTAATTCACCACTTTGGTTTCTTTCTCTGTTCCAGCTTTGCTCTGCGCTGTGTTCCAACCAGCAGCATCTTCAGGTAATGTTTTCCTAGCGGTCCTTTTTTTAAGGAGTGCTATCTATAGAGAAGGGCTCTTATCTTGCGTGGTTTCAGCTACAGAGGCTTAGAAGCTCAGAACCCAGCCTCTAAACTCACTGTTCTGTGAGCCCCACATTTAAAAACTCTAGGACACCATATAGTAATAGGTCAAGATTTGCCTGTCAACTAATCTAGTCTTACCTGTTTTAGCTGGCAGAAGCTTCCTAGGGTCTCAGGTGAAGATCTTATATTCTGCTACCTAGTCCTTTTTAAATAGATATTCAGGGGCCAAATGTGAAGCCTCCTGTATCAGAAGCAAGTGTTTTATGATCAGTTCATCCCCATTTGATCTTGCTTCTACTGGATCCCTAGTGAAAGATGATCCTAGACCCTATGGATCATGGACTCCAGCCCCTGTCAAGATGGCACACTGGGGAATTGAACTCCCACGCTCTGGCTCTACACTAGAGACCTAAACCACTATGGGAATATCCACTCTATAAACTCTGCCCGTTATAAGAGGGTGGGGTTACCTTAATTTTATTTATCTATTTATTTATTCCCTGGAAAAGACCCTGGAAAATTCCCTGGAAAAGACCCTGATGTTAGGAAAGTATGAAGGAAAGAGAAGGGGATGACAGAGGATGAGATGGCTGGACAGTGTCATCGAAGCGACCAACATGAATTTGACACAATTCCGGGAGGCCGTGGAAAACAGGAGGGCCTGGCGTGCTCTGGCCCATGGGGTCACAAAGAGTCAGACATGACTTAACGACTAAACAACAATTTATTTATTGCATTTTATGCTGCTTTATCCCATTGACTGAGACTCAAGATGGCTCACACAACATTAAAATAGAATATATAAACCATTTTAGAAAGAACTATTAAACATGAGAATATTGAAACAGGAAAAACATCAAAAAGCCATTAAAAAGATTTAAACACAGGAACTCCAGGCCCTCTAACTTTTTTGAAATTAGATGTTAAATGCCTGAAGAGAAAAGGTTTCCTTTGTCAGGAAAGGACAGGTGGAAAGGGGGGCAGCTTGACCTTGCAGGATAAAGGCATTCCATAGCCTGGGGGCAGTCACTGAGAAGGCCCTCTCTCAGCTCCCCATCATATGTACCTCTAAAGGTGAGAAGACCAAGAAGAAGGGCGTTCCCTGGAAGATCTGAAGAGCAATTTAAATGAGATTAAGTCTTTGAAGTGGTTCATCCCACAGCAATTGAGTCCACCCTGTTTCAGTGGAATGATAATGCCAGTGAGAAATTGTCACTGGAAAAGGAGAGAGAAGAACATATGCATGTATAAAACTTGTCCCTGCCTTTTCAGTGAAAATCTATATAAATATTTGAGAGAGACCCTTGTCCAGCAGGCCGAGGCAAAGAGGCAGTCCCCAAAGCAGCCAAATCAGGGAGCTGGACAGGGGACAGATTGGATTTGTCTTCAGTGCAGAAGGGATGGCCACTCTCGAATTGGCCTTCTCAGCCACACTAGACGCTGTTCCAAGTCCTCCGTACACAGTATAGTCTCTCAAGACTGAAAGATGTCGTCAGAGAGAGAGAAAGAGAGAGAGCTTCATTATGGCATATCTACCATAATTTTATATGTCTTAAGTTGCTTTGGAAAAGTGGATTGTATGGTGAATCTGATAATAGTTGGATAAAAATGAAATAAATGTGTGTTGGATACTTTCTGTGTCCATCAGCTGAGGTAATAATACTGACATGTGCAATTCCCAAAGTCCTCCTTTCCAACATGTTCCTTTAGAATGTCAATGTTGAGAAATATATCTTGAGTAGCCTATGCTATATCTTCCTGCTGTCTATCCGCAATGCATAGCAAATGTTATTTTAACTCCTTTTATATCAATCTGCTGGTGCTGTCCTGCTTGTCCTCGATTCTGAGAAGAATATAAGGGAGCAAGTATAATAAAACTAAATTAAATTAAAAATTATCCATCCCATAAATGCCTGCAAGCAAATTTAGCCTTTAGAAGTGTGGTTTCTGGTTTTATCCTAGGTCTGCAGACCCCCAAACTTACGATCCAGCCCAACCACCCTGAGTATTTTGAAGGGGAGAGGATTGAGCTCATTTGCTCAGCTTCCCAAAACAGGACGGTGGAAGGATACAGGTTCTTCGATCCAGATGAGCGGATGATCCACAAAATGGCCGCCAGCCCTTATCAAAAGGGGAAGCTGCCTCTCACGCTTCAGATGAACAGCACTGGGAATTATTTCTGTGATTACTGGATGGAAGAAAGTGGAGAAGCCACGTCAGGACCAAGCAACGCCACTTTCATCCGTGTAAATGGTAGGTTTCTCTTTCCTAAGATGTTCCAGGCCAGAACACAGAAACCTCGGCCATGGATGGTCTCTGGACCCTGGCCCTTCTGCTGTTCCCTGCTAGATGTCAGCTGACTCAGTTCTTCTCTTCATTTCATTAAAAAAATCAGCCAAGAGGAATACTTTCATTTTTTTTCTTGGTTTCCAAGTTGCAAATTGAACTAGGAGTTACCAAAGTTTGTGGTAGACAGCTCCTATGGAGACGGGGTTTTTTTTTCCCCTGCATGGCCGTTGAAGAAAATTCTCCCATGCACCCAAAAATAAAAATTGCCTACGCAGGACTTTCCTTCTTAGTGAACCGTTACACAGCATGAACAAGTCCCTTTCAATGTAAAATAATAACAAAACAAACTTTAGCAGTGTGTATGGGGGAATCAGGGTGTTGCAGCAGATCCTGACCACTAGGTGGGAGTAAAGGACAGCATCTGGGTTGTAACCCAGGTAAACCTGTTGTATATTTTTTATCAGTTTCTGAATCGGGTAAGGGGAATGAATGGGTGTTTTTCTAGTTGTTGCTAGACTACAACTCCCATCAACCACAGATGGCGCTAGCCAGTGCTGAGAGATGCTGGGATTTGCATCCAAGAATATCTGGCAGGGACATTCCCCATTCACACATGGTTCTTTGGCTTAGGAACTACTATAGTAGTAACCACTGGAGCATATAGACAGGGGGAAATTTAGTGTAGTTTAAAGGATCATGCATATGAAATAATTATTGGAAAAGACAAAGATGTAACTAAGGAATGGAGGATGGCAGTCTGCCTCTTCTGGCTTTTGGCAGTTGACTATGCAGTCCAGTGCACCTTGCCGACAAAGGTCCACATAGTCAAAGCTATGGTTTTTCCTGTAGTGATGTATGGAAGTGAGAGCTCGACCATAAAGAAGGCTGACTGCCAAAGAATGGATGCTTTTGAATTGTGGTACTGGAGGAGCCTCTTGAGAGTCCCCTGGCCTGCAAAGAGAACAAACTGATCCATTCTGAAGGAAATCAACCCTGAGTGCTCCCTGGAAGGACAGATCCTGAAGCTGAGGCTCCAGTACTTTGACCATCTCATGAGAAGAGAAGATTCCCTGGAAAAGACCTTGATGTTGGGAAAGTGTGAAGGCAAGAGGAGAAGGGGATGACAGAGGATGAGATATTTAGACAGTGTCATCGGAGTGACCAACATGAATTTGACCCAACTCTGGAAGGCAGTGGAAGACAGGAGGGCCTGGCGTGCTCTGGTCCATGGGGTCACAAAGAGTCAGACACGACTTAATGACTAAACAAAAAATGCAGTCCAGGTGGCAGGATCTTCCCTCTACAGCAGTGGTTCCCAACCTTGGGTCCCCAAATTTTTCTTGGACCAAAAACTCTCAGAAACCTTCACCACTCGCTGTGCCGGCCAGGATTTCTTGAGTTCTCACCTAACAACATCTAGTGACCCAACGCTGGGAAGCAGTCCTGTAGAGGAAGATCTTGCCACCTGGACTGCATAGTCAGTTATGGGATATTATTGCAGATGAATGCCCTGATCTTGGCTGATTTCAAAAATTAAGCAGTGTCACACCTAGTTTTTACTTTTTACTTACCAAAGAATACCAAGTTCACAGAATCATAAAACTGTTGAGCTGGACATGGCCTTGAGGATAATCTATTCCAGTCTCTGGCCTGTACAGGGAATCCACAGTTAACGCCTCCCTGTGAGGTGGCCGTTCAATCTTTACTTGTTATGTTGTCAAGCGATTTTCACTGTGAGGAAGCTCTTCCTAATATTTAGTCGAAATCTCCTTTCCTGTAACTTGAACTCAGTATTTTTGGTCCTATCCTCTTGAGCGGCAGAAAGCAAGCCTGCGCGATCTTCTAGCTGATAGCCTTACAGATACTTGAAGATGCCTATCATTTGTTCGTTTGTTCCTTCGTTTGTTTCATTTCTATACAGTGCCGTCTAGTGGCATGTCACTACTACGGGCTAGAGATGGGCACAAGATGCCAGTTTGGCAGCTCGTCCTGATTTGTTTACCACCACAACAAGTGTTCAGCCATTTGGCACACCACTCCCACCAGTGGGCACCTCCTCAGAGACACTGTCCTGACTTCTCTCACCCACTTCCTCTGGTTGCTGCCTCTAAGGGGGCACCCGCTGGGGAGGGTGGGTCACTGAAGCCCCAAATACCTTTTCCAGGAGTAAACAAACTGGGCCAAAATGCCAAATTCGCAGTTCCGGTGTCCATCAGGAACTATCCTCCACCCAACTCTCAAAAGTATGATAATATAAAATCTAAAAGGATGGCAACACTCTTAAGAACCTAAGATGGTGGCAATGGTCAAAATGTTGTTGTTCTTTAGTCGTTAAGTCATGTCCGACTCTTCGTGACCCCATGGACTAGAGCACGCCAGGCCTTCCTGTCTTCCACTGCCTCCCGGAGTTGGGTCAAATTCATGTTGGTCGCTTTGATGACATTGTCCAGCCATCTCATCCTCTGTCATCCCCTTCTCCTCTTGCCTTCACACTTTCCCAACATCAGGGTCTTTTCCAGGGAGTCTTCTCTTCTCATGAGATGGCCAAAGTCCTGGAGCCTCAGCTTCAGGATCTGTCCTTCCAGTGAGCACTTGGGGTTGATTTCCTTCAGAATGGATAGGTCAAAATACCAACCACAGAATATAATAACCAGAAATAAGATGAAATCACAAACAAATTGTAACAAGGAGGAGAGCCTGGAATACCTTCCTGAAAAGCAATGTTCTAATTTGCTTTCTGAATATTAAGAGAGAAGGGGTCTGGTGCACCTCTAGCATGTTGTCTCCCAAGCTTCTTTTCTCCAGACGAAAAGTGATGTTTCCTCAACCTTTCCTCATAGGGCTTGGTTTCCAAATCTCTTCCCATTCCAGTTGCCTTTGTCTGGACACCTTCCAGGTTCATTAAACTGGATCTCTAGACAGCGCTAGGAGAGGATGCTGCCTAAGACACAGAAGAGATGCTACCAGTCAACATAGGGCTTGATGGATCCATGTAGTGACTTCGTATGAAGGCATTTGTTCCTTTGACTCGCAAACTTAGTTTCATTCTGTGGGAATGAAGGTGTCAACATAAAGCAGCCATGGTTCTGACTTTATGCAGGATCTCCTGCCTTTTGACAGTTGGGTACATCAGCCAACATCCAAGGCTGTCTCTCCTAATGAAGAGGTTTCCGGTAACTTTAGGGTCAAAAATGAGGTGTTGAATGCTTATTCTAGATCCATGCACAGGACTCCTGATCTGAACTGGAGGTGAACTCAGGGCTTCAGAATTTATCCAAGTTTCTTTCCGAAGCAATTTATGCTCCATCCAATTTGATCTCTGCCCTACATTTGGGTCGATTTTCAACAATTTGTAAATATTACACGCCAAACCCAAATCTGGCCGTTCTGCTATGATCCATCCCTAATGCAAATCGAATTGAATCAGGCTGATTCAGTTGGCAGGTCAGGATTTATTCCTTTCTACACTCTTGTGCATTTCTTTTATTTTGTGATTTTTTACCCCCTGAGAGATATGTGCCTCAGGAAGGCTTGTAGTACCTCTAAGACTAACTAGTTTTTGTTTTTCGTAAGTTTTTGTGTGTCCAAGCACACTTCTTCAGATGAAGACCGAAAAAAGCACGTTAAATGCAAGATACATAGGTGAGAAAAATTGTGTATTATGACAAACAGACATGTTTTGGCACTTAAAAGGGCACTACTTCTAGAAACATGCTCCACCTACTATCTAATTTCCCCCTCACGTTGGTGACTGATGGTATCTGCATGGATATCCATATAATGGAGCAAATTTCCATGCAAAAACTCTACCAGGCAAACTGGGGGAGGAGGTAGATCTCACAAAACTTGTAGAATAAATAATTTGCAGAGTAAGTATCTTTGTGGTAGCACGGTGCATGCTAATATAGAGGAATTTGAGAAAAGTCATGTATTCAGTTTGCTAGAATGAAACAGATTCTTTTCTCGCTGCATGAACAGTTTGCCTTAAAATGGACATGCAATTTTGGACTTCATTGCACACATACTTCAGGATGGAGGGGTGAGTCTGCTTGCTGGCTCTCTGGTGTATAAAGACATTTTAGTGCTGGAATGTTATCTTTCTTTCCTAGAGGCCCCTGCTGCTCCCTCTCTCTCTGTGCATCCCGAACTCCCTGCATACAACTTGGGAGACTCCATCACCCTTTCATGTTCAGCCCCACTGGGAGCAAAGGAAGTCAAGCAATTCCAATATTACAGTGACTTGATGTGTGTATCAGCCATGGCACTGCATGACAATGTCTATAGGTACAACTTGAGTATCATGGAGTCCACGGACATGGGGGTCTTCAGATGCGCCTATCTGGTGCACCTTTCTGGGCGAAACGTACTTTCCAAGAAGAGTGAACCAGTCTCCATTGAAGGGCTAGGTAAGTTCTAACTTAACTCTAACAACCTCCTTGAAAAATCTGTTTGCTTTCATCACTGATGGATCAATCCTTGGTTGAAGGTCATAGAATCATTGAGTTGGAAGGGGCCGATAAGGTCATCAAGTCCAACCACCCGCTCAAGGCAGGAATGCAAGACAAAGCAGATCTGACAGATGGTGGACCAATTTTATCTTGCATGCTTCCATCATTGGGATGCTCATCACCTCTGAAGGCCATTGGTCCCATTGTCATGCTGCTCTAACAGTTAAGAAGTTTTTTTCCCCTGATATTCCTGTAGTTTGAGCCCATCATTATAGGCCCTGCACTCTGGGATGATTGAGAACAGATCCTGCCCCTCCTCTGTATGATTACCTTTCAAGTATTTGAAAAGTGTTATCCTGTCTTCACTCAGTCTTCTTTTCTCAAAGCTAAACATGTCTAGTTTGTTCCATCTTTCCTCCTTGTTGCTCTCCTACTGAATTGCTCCACTTTGTTGGCAACCTACTTAATGTGCTCTGCCCATAACTGGACAAAGTACTCTAGATGAGGCCTAACCAGTGCTGAATACAAGGGAACTAGTACCTCTCAGGATTTAGATACCATACTTCTGTTAATGCATTCTAAAAGTTCCATCTTTCCTCATAGGGTCTGGTTTCCATCCTTGTTGCTGTCCTACTGAATTGCTCCAGTTTGTTGGCAACCTACTTAATGTGCTCTGCCCATAACTGGACAAAGTACTCTAGATGAGGCCTAACCAGTGCTGAATAGAAGGGAACTAGTACCTCTCAGGATTTAGATACCATACTTCTGTTAATGCATTCTAAAATAGCATTTGCCTTTCTTGCAGTCACATAACACTGTTGGCTCTTTATCTACAACAATTCCAAGATCTATTCACGAAGGCTTTCACGGCCAGGATCTAATGGTTGTTGTGGGTTTTTCTGGCTCTTTTCGGACTCAGAGTGCTGTCCTCTGAAGATGCCAGCCACAGAGACTGGCGAAATGTTAGGAAGAACAAAAAAAAAACAAAAAAAAAAGTGTGCTGCTTATATACCGCCCCATAGCGCTTCAAGCACTCCCTGGGCGGTTTACAATTTAATTATGCAGGCTACACATTGCCCTCCCGCCCCCAGCGAGCTGGGTACTCATTTTACCAACCTCGAAAGGATAGAAGGCTTATTCAACCTTGAGCCGGCTACCTGGGATTTGAACCCCAGGTCGTGAGCACAGTTTTAGCTGCAGTAGAGCGGTTTAACCACTGCGCCACGAGGCTCAACCTTCAGAACACGGCCAAAGAGCCTGAAAAACCCACAACAACCATTAATTCCAAGATCCTTCTCACTCTTCATTACAAGTATCCCCCATCTTGTAACGGTGCATTTGGTTTTCTGACCCTAGGTGTAGAACTTCACACTTATCCCTGTTTAATTTCATTCCATTATTTTTAACCCAGTGCTCAAGCTTATCTTGGGTGGGAGATGGCTCTGATTGGTCTTGAGGGTGAGAGGCATACCAGGGCGTCTCTCAAGATTACCTCTTTCACAGCTATTTGCAAGACGGGGTGATGGTAAGAAGGGTTACGATAAGAATCTCCCTGACAGCCCTGGCAGAAATTCAGGTGACTAATAAAGCATTGTGTTGCCCCAAGCGGAACTGACAAGCCTTATCTGGTTTTAAATAAGAACACCTACTCAAGTCAGATGTGGCAACTGTTTGTTATAGGAAATAATCAACTCTTCTTTGTTCCTATTTAGGAGTCAGATGGAAATGGATGTTGGCTGTTGGGGGGTCCTTCTTCACCATCAACACCCTTATCTTCCTAATCTCCCACTGCTTTTTTTAAACCACAGGTAAACATGGCTTCCTAATGAAGTACCAGGCTTTCTGTGTGTGTGTGTGTAGTTGAAAGAGAATGAAGTAGTTCCACTTTATGCCTCAGTCATGTCTAGGTACATTTGCTGTAGCCCTTGCTACAGTGTGTAGAAACTGTCATCCAGCTGCCGTGTACCTGGAAGAAAATCAGCCATATTCTCATCTGAAGCTTTATGCCTATGTCTAGGTACATTTGCTGTAGCCCTTGCTACAGTGTGTAGAAACTGTCATCCAGCTGCCGTGTACCTGGAAGAAAATCAGCCATATTCTCATCTGAAGGGGGTTCGCTGTTATATGGTGTTACACCAAGTGAGGCAATTGATGATGCTGAGGGACAGTCATGGCATACCCTCTACCTGTAGTCCTTGCTACAGTGTGTAGAAACTTCCATTCAGCTGCCATGGAAGAAAGGCAGCCATATTCTCATCTGAAGGGGGTTCGCTGTTATATGGTGTTACACCAAGTGAGGCAATTGATGATGCTGAGGGACAGTCATGGCATACCCTCTAGCTGTTCTTCCTGACCCCTTTCAGATGTCCCAAACCTTCTCAGTCAGCCTCACCTAGTGGGGACAGGCCACACGAACCTGCCAGTTCTAAAGAAAGGTTTCCCTCCCTGTCCAGGCAGCTTCTTTACATGAGTAGAGAAGGGACGCCATCTTGTTTTGTTGGGATTCTTGCCTCAAGCCGCAAAATGTCTTGGACTGCCCTAATGAAGCATTGGAGTATGACCTTGCATCATCTCTAGAGACTCTTATTCACTTCTTGAGACAATTTCAGATGCTACTCTTGATCTCGGAAGGCGTAAAATCTGAAACTAGGATGCCTTAAAGGCAAGCGTTCCCAACCTTGGGTCCCCATATGTCCTTGAATTCCCAGAAATTCTGGCCACCACAGCTAGTGGTGAAGACTTCTGGTAGTTTTAATCCAAGAATATATGTAGACCACACCCTTAAAGGGACTTATTTAAGTACTAGATGTTTAGAAGAAAAACAGCTGTTTTGGCTCCCTATTTAGTGTTTAACTAATCGGATATGGGCTTCCTCCAGAAATGCTAGAGAGGTTCTCAATGAATTATGCAAGATTGCCCCTGTTCTTTTGTTTGTTTGTTTGTTTTTCCACACCAAGCTGGTATATTTGGCGGCCATGTGCTAAGAAAGACTTTTATTTTCCAGACCACTGCAACCTCCTCCATTTCGAAGGGTTCCAGTCAGTGAAGGAGCCCTCTCTACTAGACTTGAATCCCCAGTGTCTTCAGCAGAAAAAAAAAACTCATACACGTTGCCTGAAAAAAGACAGGCACATACTTGGAAATAAGGCAGCTTGGACATCTAAGAAATGCATAAGCTTCAGAGAAGAGCTTGGGGAAAAATACTTTTGTAGACCACAGCTCCCACCCACCGTGGTGTCAATTCTCCTTTCGCTTGTTGGAGGGTCTACCCAGGCCATCAATTCTTCCAGAGTTCACTATGGCAGGTGGCCACCAAACAGAGGCATGGAAAGCGACCACGAGGAACCACGTCTTTTCGATGGTAGCCACGACACTTTGAAACATGTCGATACACACAGACTCCTTCCCTCTTGATCTTCGGGAAGCATGTTAAAGCCAAGCATTTCCAGGAGGCCTTTGAGAACATGCTCCTCTTATGACAGACCACCTGGGGATTTTTCTGTTAATATTATGTTGTTTTTAGGCATCGTGGATAGCTGGAGGTTTTCGTCCGCTGTAAACTGACCAGAATGATGGCTTGCCACTAGATGGGTGACATATTTACTTATAACAGAGAAAGAAGCAAAGAATTCAGGCAGCACTATGGAGTACAAAATGGTTCTAACCTGGTTCTTAACATATGAAGCAGTCAAGGAGCTGAGCCTGGAAAAATCTGTTGTGGTTGTTCCCACATGTGAATTTGGGGTGGGGGTGGGGGACTGTAATGTTCTTTCCATCCTATGTATGAAGAAATCTGAGAACTTTACTTATTTTTTAAAAACTGGAATAGAATTCTCACGCTTTCCCTAAATTTCATCTTGTCGATATTTCTCCTTCTTTCCAAATTTTCTATAGCCACCCCATCGGATCGCTCAGTGGACCATCCAAAATGACCCCAATTTTGACAAAAAGGCTGCATCTTGGTTTCTCACAGGTCCCTATTTTTTATTTTTTTATTTTTATTTTATTTTTTGCTGCTGCTGTTGTTAGAGTTGCTTTTAGATCTCTTCTTCGGATGACCAATACCTCTTTGGTATTCACTTTGCCAGCTTATTTCCGGTGAGACAAGAACCGCTTGAAAGAATTCATGGAAAAACCTGCACAGATATTGCCTTTACCAATAAACTACCCAACAAGAATAGAAAATAAATTATTCCATCACATTTGCGGTCTCTTTTTTTTGGGGGGGGGTACTATAACGTAACATTTTCAATATATTTTCTACTGTGTCAAGTACCTAGAAGGAAAATTAATGGTATGTGATGATATTTGAGTGCATTGCACTATGGGGCAGCAAGTAAGTAAGTAAATGAATGAATGAATGAATGAATGAATGAATGAATAAATAAATAAATAAATAAATAAATAAA